ATTAAAAGAACACAATAACCGCCAGGAGTCGGCTAAGCTGCCAAATAGGTATTACAATAAACTGTGGTTTTTTAAAAAAAAGTTCTATTAAATTTATTATTTCAGTGGAGAAGATCAGTGATACATAGAAGATATCTCTCTGACATAAGCTTCTGCTTCTGAGCATCTAAATTACATTAGGTTTGGTGCTTGAGGTTCTTTTTTTGAGAAATTACGTATTTAAACATTCTGCTTGCAGTGCAACAGCAATGTAAACCCTTCCTTTATTTTTTTAGCAGATGCTGTGCATCACTCACATTCAACTTATCCATTAACTGTGAACTGTTCATGTATCTTAGTGTGGTATCAATGCCTCTATGGCAAGGCTAAACAGCATTTCAGAAACAATGATATCCCCAAGCCCACTGTAGTTTCTGAAGCACAGATTAAGCACGGTATTCTGCTCAACAAGCTCATCACTGTTAAGTAACTCATCAGAAAATAAAGAGGGAATTATCAAATGGGAATTGCCAAGTAATTAGTTCTCTGAAGCAGATGACATACAACTGTTAAAGGGAGGGGCTTCTCTGCTAGTCATATGTCAAAGTAGAGCCTCCTAATCTGTAAATAAAAATTCAGTACATATGATTAGTGTGATGGGTTTTTAACTGCTAGTGGTACATGGAGAATAAAGTTCCAACTTCTTCTATCATAATAACCTACTAGGATTTTTTTCCCCTTGAGTATACTGAATTTTCAAACCATTCTGGATCTACTTGCTGTCAGACTACCTTGGGAAAGCTATGAATACAGCACAGTACCAAGCAGCAAATGTGTTCAGGGGCTATGGAAGAGGAGAAATGCTTTTATTATTATATACATTTGAAAATATCACTTTCTAGTCAGCTGCTACACATGCCATTGAAAAGGAACCACACCAATGAGAAAACACTCAGTAGCACAAAATTTCTGAGCACAGTAAAGGAGGATTAAGCCTGCTTTTTGTAATTATCCTTCTCCATTAAAGCCTGACTTTCTTTCAAGTACCTGGCCTCACAGAAATGTTAGCTGTACAAAACTACAAAGGCCTTCACACGTGGGTACCTGACAAGCAAAATGTGGTAACGGTCACAACCACACTCCAATACAAGTGAGGAACACTTTGACATTTGTACTTTTTATAGAACAAGGAGTGACTCAATAAATCCTGAAGTCAGGTTTACAGCTAGTTCCAAAATAAGTAACTGATGAGAAAATAAAGAGGCAATTATCAAATTTAGGGTTTGCCCCTATCTCAGTGTCTCAACATCAGAAACCTCTCAGCCAACACATTTAAATCCAGATGCTGCCACCTGGGCTAATTTCAGACCAAAATTATACCCCTAGTAATGAGGGCTAACTTTCTTTCAAAAGCACAGCCCTGGTTTCAAGGCAAGGCAAACCCCACCAGCACACCCCTGCCCAACACACACAGCCAAGGGAGAGGGCAGCAGGAGGGCACACACAGATGCTCAGGCTTGCATACAACTGCACATCACATCCAGACACCTCACCACTTCTCGCCCCCAGTACATGGAGCTTCTCCATTCACTCCCACTAACATCCACTTTTAAAAAAATGCTAACAAGTTGCAGAGTATGGAACAGCAAATCTCATTCCATTTGCAAATACACCTTTTAAAAACACCAAGTTGGAAGGCGAATCAAACCTTGGATAGTGCCTTATATCACATTATGAATGTCAGCCTTGTGTTTTTATGTAGGCATAACACTACACCCCATACCATTTACACTTCAGACCATGTTATGAAACTTTGTATCAGTCAGACAACAGGCCTTCAGTATCTGCAGTAGGAACAACAGGGGAAAACCCTGCTGAAAAGTTATGGCTGAGGTGAGGGGACCACAAAGCCTTATTTTTAAGACATCCACCAGCATTCACATCACTTCATTTAATTTCAGTTGCTCACACATAAACAATTTTAAAAAATTAAATTATTCCTAATTACTATCCAGTTATACCTAGTTCACAGCATTTCACTTGTGCTGTTAACGCATTAGCAATCTCCATTGCCTACCTTCTTTTAGCCCTACAGATATTGCAGACCTTCATAAACAGCATGAGGGAAGAAATAAAACCAACTATGATAAAAGGACCGTGACATGAAAACCAAAAAGCCACCACTGCACACAGTAATATAGAGACAGATTAGTTCTTTTTATGTTCACTATTAAGTATTTTAAAAGCACAGACTGTTGCCTGTTTACAGAGAGAGGTAGCCAGAAGTCTGCATAAAACAGAAATTATATCTTATGTAAAAAATAAGCTATATTAGGTAGCATACAGACATACTTACTGAAAATTCAGCCAAAATAAATTTCTTACAAAGGGGCTGCAGCTGTAAATTCATCCCAGTACTATGATTAATAAATATCAAGTGACTCGACAACAGAAAAGATTAAAAAGAACTCTTTAATTGTTAAAATGTCCAGTATCTCATGTAAAATCCTCTCAAGACAACTGTATAAAAGAAAGCATTGAGTCATTTGCCTACGTGGAAGGAGGCAGTGCATGCTCTGAACAAATAACAATAACTCTGTGTTTCGGAGAGCAGGCTAAAATTAACTAAAAATAAAAAAGAAAGGAAAGCTGTATCTATTTCTTTCTTTTTGTTTTACTTTTACTAATGCCCATGTCCTTATCCAGGCAAGATGCTTAGCTGGCTCTGCAGAAAATGCTGCTTGAATTAGAAGGGTAAGCACACCTGGAGAGCTGACACAGTAAAGATGTTACCCACTGAAGCCACACAATTCCTCACACGAGTGAAGCCATGAACGCACGTGAGGGACATTAGGCCTCAAGTATGGCTTCTGAGACGCATTTTGGATGCCTTCAAAAGTGTCCCATGTTCTGTCCCTCTGACAGACTCCAGGGTCATAACCCAGGTCTGCCTAAAATGGAGCAAGGCAGTTGCCACCTTCACCCCAAAACAAATGCAAAAGCCAGGAAGATGATGAGTGTCAGTACGAAACGCTCTATCTGTGGCTGCTCCCTGCACAGTGCCAGGTCATGTTTCTTTCACATGTTACTACGGTGAGCTCCTGCCTTTTTCCTCCAGTAATAGAGAGAAGTTTGTAAGCAGGCAGTGTCTATCCCAATAACTTTTATTTCACTTATTTAGTTATACAGTGAGCCTGATTTTGATTGTTCCATAGAAAAAAATGGGAATTAATGAGGTCAACAGAGGTACCCCCAACTCAGTAACTAAATTGTCCAACAATAAGAAGTTAAACCAAATCTGACCTAATCTGACACCAAATTAAACCAAATCTAATGTGACACAAACACAATACTAAACTTCAAGCTGAGCTAGTATAGGAAAAACAGCATCTTAGTACTATACTCCTATCATGCCTCTGCATCAGACTTAACTAGGTTACATTTTTAATCTAAAATGTTTTATTTAACATTGAATATACTGACTCTCATGTAATTGCAGAAAATACCAGATGCTAACATATCCAAGGTGACTTAGCAATGCATTGTGGCTAACACAATCTGATTATTCATAGGACTTGACCAATGCCCTAGAAACAACTACTTCTTCTAATCAAGAGATATAAGTTTTTCCAGCAGTAATCACTTCTTCAAATAAAACATTTCTCTACAACCCAAGTTAATCTTAAAAAATAAAAAATTAAATGCTTTATGTAACTGATAACATCATAACAAAAAACTTTCTTCTATTTGACGTCCCAAGTCAATAGCTGCTACCAATTCCATTTTCTTCCAAAGTGGAAAGACAAACTGTACTAGCACATGAGCACTTTTTGTGGTATTTTACTCTCAAGAAACTCTCATTGCTCTGAAGTTACAGTGGTTACCACTCACCCCACCATTCAAGCTCATCTGGAAATTGTAACAGACCTGTCCTTGCATGTAACTACTTGCCCAGGCAATTTCCCTCTAAAACACAGCACCCTTCCCCACAGCCACAATAAAATGTAAATGATGCCCTGCATACTATTCTATGACATGCTGTATACATTAAGAAGTTATTCTGCAATGGACACTTTCTGATCAGCCCTGCATAAATAAGAATGCTGTTGTAATTAAGCTTTCAGATTATAAATTTAAAAAAAAAACCCTTTGGTTTTCTGCAAGCAATCACTATATTTCATTTTCTTTTATTCAAAGACACAGGCAATTTTATTATGACCCTTTATCTTTTTTTTCTTAAAGCATTAGCAGCATTGCCAATCCCAAGCACTTAAAAATCATAGAATAGGTCCAAAAAACCAGGCTGGCTTAATGACAATCAGATTAAAGAAATAAAATAAAAATTTATGTTCTTTTTATTGGCAGTATGATTGTTGAGTCTTGGGACTTGGTCTTTTCAAGTTATTTTCCACAACCATATGGGAAGGAGAGAGAGAGGAAAGGGACAGCAGCAGACTGATACATGTGCACTTTTACATCTTGTCTGCCAACAGCATTTCAGGGAGGAAAATCAGAAGAACTGAAAGCATTCCTCAAAATAGACCAAAAGACACACAGATACATCAGTAGTAACTAATTATCCTGGGAACGATTCTAATGCTGGACAAAGTTTAATGCACAGAAAAAACTCAAGACTGTGGAAAAGCCAAGTAGGTGACAAGCAACAGGAATCCTGAAAATGATCATAAAAGTGAAGGAAGGATTTATTCAATTTTACACATGGCATTTTATAACAAGAATCAAAGTCTGCCAACTTTTCCATTCATACTAACATCTTCCAGTAACTGAATACACTCTGACCTCAGGTGAGCATAAAACCACCCATCTGGAACCCACCTGTTCTGTAAGTCAAAGGAATTTTTCTGAGCAGAGTTTCTCAAGGACCTCTACTGCCAGGCAAGGGAAGTACAAACCTATCAGGTAGGTAATTACAAAGACACCAGAAAGGTGCGCATTTTGCCTAAAGCCCAGAGCAGACAGTGTACACTTGCTGAAGGAAATAAAAAGCATTGCATTCTCACCTTATTGGCAGTGCATAACTGTACGGTGAAGAAAAGAATGATGGTGGTCACTGTCCTACGGGGTCAAGAATAAATTCACAGCTTGTATTGCTTGCCCATCTGGCTTGGCCTGCAATGTGACTGTTGATCCAGGAGTTGAGGAGATGGAAACCAAAATAAAGAGAAACAAAAACACAGTTAAGAGTCAACATTTACAGTAATTTACAACACACTAAGATATCCCAGTGAAGACTGAGAGAGGCTGCTTTTACTATTACTCAAGCACAAATAAACCATAGATTTAATTCTGCAGACAGAGTTCATACAGTAGAGAGCAGAGGCCATTTATTCAGAGTGCTCTTTTCCTAAATGTGATCTTAATGAGGTGAAGAATCATAAGCAAGTGGAGATGACTGTCTTCACTGCCAACAGAATATATTTTATTCGAGAAGCAGTAGCATCCTGAAAACATAGTGCTGCAATTACTACTACTAGGTGAAAAATAATGTGACTTTACCTTGTACACTATTTTGTCATTAAAGGTGGCATGCTACAGTTGATGCCTATTACTGTAAATTCCTAAATAATATAAACAAAGAAAATCTTTAACAATGTGTTTTTTTAATTTTTTCTGTGATTTTGCTCAGCAAAATCATGAAGAGCCAGCACTGAACTTCTGCTGACATCACCTACTAAAATACGTTTGGAGTTTTCACTTGGAGTCTCACCAAATATTTTTATCACTCTTGGTACAATAAAAGGATTTAGTGGGACCATTTCTCCCTCACTGAGAATCATTTCTGTTGTTTCAGTTTATGAGCATACTTACTTGTTCCTATTTAGGGAAGGATTTACACGCATACTTAACTCTAGATAGGTTCTTTAATCAATCCTCATTCAGCAAAACCCTCACTGGGACATCTACTAAAGTAACTTTGCAGACTGGGACCAATGCACACATACAGATTTGCATGTGTTGTACAACCACTTCAGACTACAGCTTTGAGAGAGAAAAAAGCCATGAAGCATTACATTCTCAACAGATGCACTGAGATCAAAAAGGAGTTATGGTCATGGATCTAGTTTTTGTCTTTTTGCAAAGATCAGGAATCTGCAAAGTTTCTTACATTTTAAAATGCCAGTCATGCATCACCTCAGCCAAAAATATGTAGAAATCTTCAACTTTCTCACATAAAGAATGTGAACCACTGAATAAGACTTCAAAATACAGTGCCTTCAACCGAATACCTATTTATTTATTTATCACATTTGGAGTCTTGCTTAAAAGTAAAATGAAAGGTTGAGGACAGGATTTTCACTTTGCAAAGCTTAGGCTATGGAAGTCACTGGAATATAGCAAGTCAGTTCTTTGCAATGAAATATTTACCTGTGCCAAGCCTGCCATACTTCTCTTTCTTGTTCTAATTATATCTTTATCTGTTAACACAGAGTTGGTTACAGCAGTCTCAGAAGAGACCTACAACTAAATCTGTCATCTGCACTCTCTGAATTGTACACACCGTACCTGCACTGTTCTCCAGAACAACCAAATCACTCACAACCTGCGTGGTTATAGCTGAGGCTGTCACACAGCCTGACTTCTCTTAAGCATCACCAGCGGCAGCTGCCTCACATGCTGGAGTAGGTTTGCAGCCAGCCAGTGCTTCAGACCATCTATGCAATCCTGACAAGCACTTCCTTTACAGCCTGCCACACTTTTTTTTTAATTGCATTTCCCCCTCAATTAGTACATCACAACAAAAGCAGTGTGCATATGAACAATGACAATGATAATCCTGACTGTCATCTGCTAAGATGTGCTGCTAAACCTCTGCAAGGGGAAAAATTAGGCCTTGATTTTGTTTTACTAGACATGTTACTAAGACAATTACTTTAAAATTCTAATGTTTAAATTCTTAGTTGCTTTTCAGGTAACTGCATTCAAGTGTCTATTTTCTTAATTAATGGGAAACTAGGCCACTGGATCTATTACATAAAAAAATTTTGTTAAGTGAAATTCCATGTCTCTTGTAAATGTCTTTTAAAACAAAACTAGTTTTTTTCAGCCTTTCTAAATAGATTCAATCAGGCTAGAAAAGCAAAGTTGCACTGTTTATTTTTCAGAAAAGTTTTTAAACTATGTATATATGGCCTTTCTGAAAATAATTACTTTCTAACACTCTTAGTCACACAGGTAATTTGTCTTACAATAAAAGATGTATAAGCAGCACGCAGCACACAAAGGCTCACACTACAGGAGTTGTCCTGCTCATGACTATTCCACTCTCTCCAGCCAGTCCTCCTAACAAGTTCCTCTACTTCAAGACACCTCCTAAGAATGGAGGCGGCCGCATGGAGCAGAGGATATTCCCTCCTAGCCAGAAGGGCAAGTTAGTGGAGGCACTGAGAAGTTGCACTTCAGTGCAGGAAATTGCCTGCAAATACCCTGTCCCCTCACCCCTCCAAGAAGAAACACCTGCTCAGCAGGCAGGCTGAGACCGGCAAACTCATCACACCAAACCCAAGACTGCCGCTGCCTGTCACCACAACAGCTGAACCACCAACAGGCATTTCTCATTGCCTCCTCCTCCAGCTCCAATGCTTTACCATCAGAGTGATTAAAATATCTATTTTACTGAGATATTTCTGGATTGCTTTATGTTCCAGCCTGGTACTACAAACACTCAGGAGCTGTGGGTGCTGACGATTTCTCATCACTGAGACACAAAATCCTCCGGGCCAGGTTCAATATTAGTGTCAGCGCACCCAAGATTAGTGACTGGAGTAGGGGTGTTACCCACTTCTATAGACACTTAATGCAGCTCCTTAATCAGGCAAAAATCCTATTTAAGCCCACAGTGCTTTTTGCCATGAAAAGCAATATAGAGAAAATAACAGCGATATGCAGCAGATCACTTCTGAGCTCGGTTACTCTACTACATGCCTGGATTAAATCCAATAAATGGAGTTATTTGAGATATACACCCATGTAAGTGGCTCACAATCCCATCCCCTGGAGTTACTCCAGATTTATGATATTAGAACACAGTGCCAAATTTAGTGCTTTTAAAAAATTATACCTATATTTATGGAAGAATGGCTTAAAAGAGTCATGTTCAAACAATGAGAATGAAGACAAATATACATTGCTTGGTGAAACGTTTTTAAGAGCAACATGCAGTTCAAAGCTAATTATATTACATATCCTTTGACGCTATTATAAACTGTGTCAGAAAGACTCCTGCTCCATGGCTATAATATTTTGATGAGCACAAATGCAAAATATACACCCATACTAGAAACAAAGTGTTTGCTGGGGCAAAAATTGTTTTTATCATGAGAAATTGCAGTCAGCTTTCACCTAACACACAAAAGGGCCTAGACCTTGTTAAGATCTATGAGGAGGCTTTAACAAATCCGGAGTGACAATACTGACATCAAGTATCAGCAATTTTCATCTTACTGGCCACAGGGTGTAAAGTACAGTACAGGAGTGGAGAATAACAAGCCTGTGGCCTATGATGAGAAAGCTGGAATGGGAACTGTTAGCAAACACTGCTACAGCCACCAAACAGTTAAACCAGACAGCCGGGGGGGGGGGGGGGGGGGAGAGAAGGAAAAAAAAAAATGAAAACTCTGAAGAAACTTTCATGCAAGCTTGTATAAGCCAAAAGCATTTTTACAAAGTACCACACCTTCATTAATTTGCTAATAATACACACAAGTGGAACTGACGATTTGGCTGACCTGCTAAGCGTGCCACGTATGGTCCCATCTGCCTGACACTCCAGTGGGCAAAGAACACCCTTCCCGAGAAGTTTGGCCATTAGGAACCCACCACCGGCATCTTTCAATTTTCGGAAAGCCCGAGGCGGTGGCCGCGCCGGCCGTACGCCACCAACGCGGCACACGCAGGGCTGGCGGTAGCCCGCTGGGTCGCCCGGCAGCCACACACGCACCTGGCTGGCCGGTGAATACGGTGAATCCCGTCTGTTACCATGGCAGCCTGATCTAATTACATGACTGATCAGGGCTGGAGTAAGCGCGCTGAAAGCCTGCACCGCTGACATGTCGCTACATGATGAGAGAGACAGACAGACAGCCGAGCACGGAGGAAAACCTATCGACCTCTGCCTTATGTAAAAAGTGAGGAGATTACAGCCACCCTTTCAAAATAGCTGCTACCCGTAAAATACCGGGACAGTTTTACGAACAAATTAGGTGCAGTAATGTACAATTACTACTATTATCCTGCAGCATCACAAAAATAACTACGGCGCAATATTTTCCCTGGCCATTCTCAATTTCCGTCTCCCCCATTCATAACCCTTGCTCCATATGATAAAACTGCACCGTCTCTATCACTCGAACAGAAATAGATTAACATGAAGCCGGGATTTTCCTTTAGGGGACGGTTTCATTCGAAACTGAAATTAAAAGTCCTTGACTTATCAGTGTGTCAGCAGAGTAACTCACTATGCTCGACCGTATCTGACGCGTGAAGTAACCATTACTGCATAAAATACATAACCATGAGCGTTAAAGGTTAAAGTGTAAGCTGCTTTATAAAATATTAATTTCTTTACCATATGAAAGGGAAAAGGTATTCGGCAAAGGTCATTTACCTGCACACCCTTCCCGTTCTGTACACAGAAATAATTTGTAAAGAGGAAGGTTTTACAAACCTAGATTTCTTCGTCTGGTTGTAAAAGAAATGCCTAAAATTTTTCCCCAATTCTATCTGGAGTTCGGGCTCACAGGGGAGAGATGCTCGGAGGAGTCCCTATTACACAGCATACGGTAAACAAAATAAAAATAGCCTGTCGTTCTCGTTGTCTACACAGTGCATTATATAACGGGCTTCCGACTTGTTTTCTTTTCTATTATTACTCTTCAGTAATTCCTCCTCTTCAATAACATGTAAATCGTTCCCAATTCTGTCATTTTATTATTATCGCTATTACTATTACAGTAGGAGCTAACGCTTTTCCAGCACGCTTTAATTTAGACTTTAATATATTCTCAGGAATCACACTGACGGATTCAGCACCCACAACCGTACACGGGGTCATTTATTTGTTTTTCTGCCGGTAAATTACGATGCCTTAGGGTTAAAAAAAAAAAAAAAGGAAAAAAACCAAACAAACAAAAAAATAAAACCTAACAAATAAACAAAAACCAAACCACCAACAACCAACCCCAAACCCCCGCAACCCAACCACCCCCACCCGACCCAAGCAAACCAGAGGCAGCGGGGGATCGGTGAGCGGCAGGAGGGCAGCGGCCGCCACTGGAGGCGAGCGGAACCCCGGGGCGGCGGCGGGGAACCCCTGCCCCGCTTCCCCTCGGGAAGCCGCCGGCCAGACCCCACAGCCGCGGGCGGGCAGCGGGGCGGCGGCACCCCGCCGCCCCCCTTCCCCCATCCCTCCCGCCCCGTCCCTCCCGGCAGTACCGGGTAGCGTCTGCAGCCGGCCTGGGCCCTGAGTGAAGCGAAGCGGGGCTGCTGCCGGGCACATCCCAGCGCCAGCGCCGCCTCCCCCGCCGCCGCCGCCGCCTCCTCCTCGCTTCATTCACCCTCCGGCAGCCGCCCAGCCCCGTACTACATACGCCGTGCGGTGGCGGCGACCGGCCCTGCCGGCGACCGACCCCGCGCTGCGCCCCGCCGGGTCCGCCCGGCTTACGAGCCCCGCACGGCCCCCCCGCACCGCGCCGGCCGCGCACGCACACACACGGCACCGCACCGGCACCGCACCCCCCGCCCGCACACACGGCACGGCACGGCAACCCACACACACACCCGGCACCGCACACACACACAAACATACAAACAGCGGAGCCCCCACGCTCACACACATACACACCTCACACACACCGCACACACCGGCACCGCACACCGCCCCCCCGCACATACGAGCACACGCGCAGTCTCACACACCCCGAGGCCGCCGCCGCACCGGGGGCAGCCGCGACTCGCAAAATGTCCACCGTCCCCGCGGCCACCCACACCCCGCCCGGGCCGGGGGGAAGCGGGAGGGGGGGGGGGGGCGGGGGA